TTTAACAACCTCTACAGTTTAAATTGCGATTTATGAAACTTCCAATAACTATTTCTACAATCTTCCAATACCTCCTCCCGATATAACAAGATTCGATATAAAAATCCGAGGAATAAAATATAAAATGTACTTACCATAAAACCCCATGAGCTTATTTTAACCGAAGGAAGGGGGATATACGGACAATCCAAGATTTTATACGCCTCGCTTATTATGCAAACGAAAGGAATCCTGCCGTGAGGTCACGCGCGAATAAATACCACATACGAATCCATCGTTTATTAAAGCAAAACTTTATTATAGCAATAGTGAACAATGGATAACTATTAAAGATTTTTAACATGTTTTTTTTTTTTTTGATAAAAATAGCGATTGGATGTTTAGGTTTAGGTATTAGGTGAATATCTAAAGGGTCTCTTACCGTACGAAGTTGTTCGAACTAAAAAAAGTGTCTACAGTCGTGTGTTCAACGATGATATTCGCGCGAACGCGTAGATACGTGTGAATTTTCCATCGGCAGCGCAAGTGCAGCGTGAATCCAAGGAAGATATCGTAAGACTACCCTAATCTCTCCCCATAATCGAGCAACGAAAATACGAAAAGAATCGATAAAACGATATAAAAGAATCATATACAATCGCACGATACAAAATTCCTCACCCTTCGAGTTAAAATTACCATAAAAATCAAATTAAAAAACGACGAAAAGGATTTTCCAAATGCTCACGAGTACGCGAGAAATTTTTGCCCTGACAGGGAACCGGCAGGAAAACGGGAGGAAATTTAATCGATAACGGTGCAACTGTTTCTCCGAGAAGGAAAAACGAATATAGCCTTAATCACGTTACATGCACCATTGCCGTTCGAACAGAATGTTTCGAGCCGGGTACGGGGCTCGAGAATGATCGGAGGAAGCGAAAGAAGTTTCGAAACGAGCCGAGACGCGGGGGGCCACGCCTCCGCTGATCTAAAATAAATTTCTCCTCTCGTAAAATAAAACAGATTCCCGGATTCACGATGTACTTCCGTCCGACTCTATTTTCTACCCTTGATCGCTGTAGTCGAGAGGGACGAGCACAATACAAAGAACAGGAAAAAGAGAAAAGAAAACGACGAAATGGGATAAACAAAGGACAAAGAGATCGTAGAAAGGAGGAGGATAAAATGAGGGAGAAAATAGAACTGAACGGCGAGGACGGTAAATAATAACGATGATGACGAGAAACGAAATGATTAATCTCACGCAACATTCTCTCTCTTTTTCTCTCTCTCTCTCTCACTCTTTCTCGCACGCACACTCTGTTTCTCGTTCTTACTCACGCGGAATTTCTCTGTCACTATCGATGGAGATTGTCGTCGAAAACGATATCGAAATAGCGAGAACGTAACGAGAAGACGATATATAGATGGCGCGCAAAATGTAAAGGTAACGACGTGGTAAACTAGGAAGAAAAGGTTGACGAGCGTGGTTCATCTGTGATCGATTGGTTTACAAAAGGTGACAGAGAGACGACGAAAGAAGCAGATTAAGGAAAAGGGAAAATAATCGGTCCGGCAGATCACCCTCCCACCCCCACGTTCACCAGAAAATAAAAACCGATTCCGTACAGAAATCTAGAGAACCTAAGACAGTCGTCGGCTAGTCCTAATGATATATTTGAATTAGTCGTTACCGGCTACCCTACTCTCCTCCTTGTATCGTAGTAATAAGTCATCGTAGTTAAGTGTTTCATTTAGGGCATTCGCTTTCTCGCTCTTCCTCTTTCTCTCCCTCTCACTCTTACTTCCTCTGTCATTCGTATTCTTTTATTCTCCATTTCTCTCTCTCTCTCTCTTTCTCTCACCCTTTCATTTATCTCGAGTAACTGTCGTCACGGAGACGTCTCTTCGTACAGCGTACACTAAATCGAGCTATAACCTATCCTCGCTGGCGCGATCGCAGCGCCACTGGATCGAACCGATCGAAGCTCCACAAACGCGATGGTCCCCGAGCCGTTCATTCTCGTGTGTTACATAACCCTCAAAGACTCGCGTCTCGTGATCCTAACCTAGCCAGATTGATCGATTCACCGAGAATGAGAATCTTTTTCTCTCGTGTTTCGTTCTAACGAGAATATCGGCTCGTCTTCTCCCTTCCAACTCTCGGTCCCTTCGCATCCCTCGCGATCCAGCAGCCACGATCGCGTCCACGCAATATACAGTACTCCGATAATATTACAAATAATATATCTAACAACGTTAAGTTCATCTTAGATTGCTTTTCGTGATCACGCCGACTCATTCTCAGCAGTCTGAACGTGCATTCGTCGAGGGCCCGGACCCAAGTACGCGGCCCGCTCGCGACAGAGGGCGCCACCTACGCTTCCCTCTTCACGCTGGCCGTCGACGCGTACACGAGAGACTCTCGTGGTTCAATATCATCGTGTACCTTAGTGATTCTCTCCGCGTATTCCGCTTTCCGCTTGTAATACTACGCTCGCTTCCTCGCTCCTCCGCCTCTGTTATTCGTCGGTTATACTTCTTCTCCTCGCCTCTTCAATCCTCTACGTATCGCCTCGTCACGACACAGTCTCCCTTTCATCCTCTCTTCGTCATTCCGATTCTCTTCTCAGCCTTCGCGACCACGCGCGCGGTGCTCCCCTCGCTCTGGAACAGCCTCGAACGACGGTCTGGTCGCCTAACCTCGTTTCGAGCGAGTCCCGTGTCCCAGACGCGAATCCGCGCGGAACGGTGCCGTGGCCCGTCGTGGAGAACCTCAATTCGACGCACCTGAAGAGAAAGAATCGTCTCCCGATCGTCTCGAAGGCAGCTCTGATCCGCGCTTACGCGACGCACAGTCTAAAGTATTCTCGGCTCCGTCTCCTTATCCGCTTGAAAATTAAATCCTTAACCTTACGACATAATACTATTCAATACTTGTTTGAAGCTCATAATAAGTACATATTTGAGGATTAAGTTACCGATTATTGTATTAACCTTACGCTCCTATACGGTCACCCTTCTCTCGTCTCATATACATCTATATCCGTTCAATCCGTGCTTGCCGGGTACTCGTTCACTCTGTCTCTTTCTCTCACTCGTGCTCTCTCGCTTATATCTGACAGTGTACCTTTGTATGCCGTCGACGAGATAGATACAGAACAGAAAATCGTCGAGCGCGGCGTTCCGAATCTCTGTACAAGAATAACTAACGGTTCGCGCGCGTCGAGTCTAGCCGCGACGGGCCCGCGGTCCCCGCACTCGCGGCCGGAGTGGGGGGCGCGCGCGGAGCTTCGCCGACACGCCGCTAGGGGAATGGCCCGCGGGCCACAGCGGTCGCGACGCAAACCTCTCAACAATACGAACGTTTATGTACAAACTTAAGGGCAAGAGCAAAACTATCACCGACTCTACGGTGTTTTTCTCTCTGTTTTATTTTCTCCTTCGTCCTCTCTTTCTCCTTTCTCCTGCTGCGTTTCTATGCTTATCTTTCCCTTCGTCATTCGTCGCATCTCGTTTTGCTTCGTCCCAACAGTCGTTCTTCGCCTCCGAGGGAACTTAAGTCCGTACACTCGCGCGCGCACACACGCATTCACACACGCAAACACACGATGAAAGGTGCGACCACCTCGCTACGCTCTATGTTTATAGCCTACACGTATGTATACTAACGATGGCGAACTGGGTCTTCAGGAAACAGCGACCGTTCCACGAATTCTTTAATACAGCACCGGTAAGCATCCATCTCCGTTGGTAGAAGCGATCGCGATCGTCGGGAGGCTGGGCAAGCCCCGCGATGACCCGGGTTTCTACGTTTAAAATATAGGGTGAACTAATGCTACGTGTAATACGATACGTTAGAAAGGATTAAAATGCTAAATTATCGGCGGGAAGTGTGAGAAACAGCGTGAAATAAAATTAGAGAGAAGAATGGTGAAAAGGAATAGCCGCGGAGAAGTTGAGAACGCTATATTCCTCGCGTCTACGGTTGCATCGTTCCGAAGAGAATTTTTATAAAAATACCATGCACTATGACGATCCTATGTACACACAGACGTTCCCGGACCGGAAGAGAAACGACTCTATACGTTTTAATCGAACACGGGAAACGCTGACGCGCGTTGCCACGGACATGCAGCGAAACGTCAGAATAAGACTGGTAAATCGTCTTATTTCAAATAAACATTAAACGAAGAAGAGAAACGTATGCTCGCCGACATTCATCTTCTCGAGACACGAATACCGTCTCGAACCGATCGTCTGTCCGATTGACCCGCGATTCGCGTCCATTTGCCACAACGATTTCCTTCCATCGAGACCCGATTCGATCGGCCGAAAATCGTCCAGCAAGAAACAAAGATAAAATGAAACTACACTATTCTAGGCTCAGAGGTATATGAAAAAGTGTTTTCTTACTCGAATCACCGGCGTCTGAAATGATACCGGGATAGGTTCGAGTAAACGTCCAAGTTGGATGAGAATAGATTCGTGCGATAAACTGCGTGTACTTCTACGCGAATGTATCATGTACGTGTATGTTTGTGTTCCCGTTCGAAGAGCGTATTGGTGGATACAAGGATTATACAGGCCTTACCGATCTCCAACACGCGTTGGACGCATCTGCGTAGCACCTTTAGAGTTCTCCACGATTATGGTAACAGTAGTATCGTTGGGTGTGTTCAGGATGCGTGTGAACGCGAGCCTGGTACCGATGGAACTATCTCGCATCGCTCTAAAAATTTCAAATACCTCGTACCCCTGATTACGCTAATTTAATTCATACGGAATTCTTTGGAAAGTCGTTCCAAACATAAAAATGAAACATTTCTAATAAATAAAATTAGTCAAAATTAAAATTGCTTAATTCTGTTCTATCTTTCGATTATTTTCACTGTCTAAAAATCGAACTCAGAACATATCCTGTAAGACGTTCCAACGGAACGCTGCAAAAGAACCGCACTGACATAACCTATAAAATGAGGAACAGGAGAGCGCATCGATCGATCGATGCGTTTGCGCTATGAAAAAGGCAAAGAGATGAGAAATAAAAAGAAAAATACGCGGGAAAACGCCAGCGAGTCGCCGGTCGACAAGACGAAGATTCGTGGAGTGAAGGCGATGAAAGGAATCGTGCGGGTCGAAGACAGAGACGGCGGTGCACGTGGCGAAACCGTTGATATGAAAAGCTAAGAAGCTAAGTCGCGGTGACCGCGCGCGCGCCACCTACGTAGTAGCCGATTAATAATCTCATGTGTAACCTGCGTGACGTTTGAAAACGCGTCGACGTGGCGTCGCGTTCTCTCTCTGGACGCGTTTCATTCTCTCCCACTCTCGCAACCTCTCTCTCTTTCTCTCTCTCTTTCTCTCTCTCTCCATCAGCGAATCGATATACAACTTACATGGCAAGATCGTGGCCCGATCTTGACTCGTCAAACTGACTCGTTAAAACTACGCTTGAAGCTCGACCTTACGGTATAATTTCCTCTCTTCGTCTCGTCGTCGCATTTCCTCTCGGTTCTTTGCTCCTGTAACCTCGCGATTCTCGCAACGGAGCGACAGAGGCACGCTCCACTCGCTCCTCTCCCGTCTCGTCTCTCGTTCGTATCACAGATCTAAGGAAACAGGAGGATTGATTTCCGGTTTCTAAACGCGTTACACCGCGGACGGACGCCTCGATTCGAGCCGCGTTTTCCCGATCACCCGTTATACCCCCTTCGTCGCCGCGATCGCAGCGACATCTGCTGTCTGACCGCTCCCCCTCGCTCGCAGAACCGATTCACGCCGTGAGAAACGAAAGCATAGGAACCGTATGTGTGTTTGTGTGTACGTGGTACGTGTGTATCATCGGCGAGCACAGTCCCCGCACGGTGGCGCCCTCTTCCGGCCGAGTCGTTTCCATCGTCGTTCGCGTTTAAGCGCACTTCTCACGAGACGATCGCCGTCCCGGAATCGCGTCCCCGTTCTCCTAGAACCGCGTGTCTCATTATTTACACACCGGGTGAAAAGCAGTCCGTGGGCAGTAGTGTGGACCCAGCGAAAACGAGACTGGATCCCAGCGAGTGTCCCGACCGTACACGCGCGTTTATGGCAAGTATGTAGAATACGATAATACGTTTAATGGCAGTTCGATTCGATGAGTTGGATGACGACGCAATGGACACCGCGGGTTTGCGAGCAGCCCCGTCGCGCCGATCGGACACGAGCGAGTCCCCAGCGCGCGTCCATGTCTTCGTGCTTCCCCGCCGGCTCGCTAGGCGGCGCTCGGGAGTACGCCGGTGGAGGCCGCTCCGAGAGAACCGGCCAATCGGAACGCGAGGCTCTGCCGGCCGATTGAAAATGGACGTGGCGCCGAGTGTCCGAGTTCGCCGGCTCTTGACGCGGACGCGTTTCGCGGTTTTCACTCGGACGAAAGGCCATCGGTAGCAAGAAGGACAAAGGCAGTGGTGTAACCGGTCAGAAGGAGAGTGAGGCTCGTCCAACTGATCGTGGATGGACCGCGATTCTTCGGCAGGACGCTCGTACGTGGCATTGTGTCGGGGTCTCGACTCGACGAAGGCTCCAACGATCGGCTCCATCAGACCAAGGGTGTCCCGTACACCTCGTTCGTGTGCAGATTTTGATTGCTGTCGTTTTGCCTCGAGGCGCATTGCTGCAACAGAGAGAAGGACAGCACTCTCAAGCAGGTGGTCGATTAAACGTTTCGGTACGTTCGGACACGTGTGTCTGATTTGTTTCCCGTGGAATAAAAACGGGGGGATACTCGTGGCGCCAGTCGGGTAAACTATTACCTGTTGCGCTGGCCTCGGGATTAATAGGCGTAGTTTAGGTAAATATATAGATGCGAGGAAATTGATATAGGGATGTCTTACAAGTTTCGAGGCCGATGAATAGCTTGGTAGGTGCCAGTGTGCCAACGAGCGATTATTTCTACGTCGATTCCGCGGTTAAGAAAGAAGTTTCGCGTGTCCAACTCGTTTTAATGTTGCATAATAACATATATTTCTGGGGTGCAGTCGATCGCAAGTCGAAAGTGTAACACTCCACTTAAGGAAATGAAGGCATATCATGGGCAATTTTCCTCTTGTAACCGTAACAGTTACAATGGTTCTCAATAGCTCGTTTCGTTTAACAGATATTCGCATGTAACGTGACGTGACTCGCTATTTATGATTCGTGGCTTGATTATTCCATACGGTGACCCATTTCGCTAACAGATTTTTCATTTCTTGGGTATTCATCCATATGAAGGAAAAAGAATAGAGGAAACTCGAGCAATATTCTGTTCCTCGTTAAACAAACTACACACGCGAAAGAATGGTCTTTGATGTTCTTTATCTCCAATTTGTATTGCATTATACGGAGTTCTTTGGATCGTAATCATCTGCAGCGAGGGAAAAGAATACTCATGTAGGAAGTAAATATTAGCTCGCTACGAGGTATCTGTTTTTTCATAAACGTGAAGGATGGATTCAATTTCGAAAGGGACGTTGCATTCAGAGTCGAATTACATATTTGCCAGCGTTATTTCAAACGGTTTTCCATGTTTTAGCAAACTGCGTCGTGCTTCCTTTGAAAAACATTTCTGCTTCGTTATTAAACGGGGACTCGCGAGGCAAGGAAATACGCCATTTTGAACACTTGCGTGATATTTTTTTAATTCGAACATCTTGTACCTTACTCGTTGAAGAAATAATAATTACCGCATTGAAATTAATTTTATCATTTCGTTAAATATATATTTCCTTCAGGCGTAGAAAATTAAGTATCTGGTAAGTACTGAAATAATGATATCTGACTCCCTACTCGCGGAAAAATAATAATCGTCACGTTGAAATTAAGTATGTCATTTCGTCAAATAAATATTTTCTTCAGACGTAGAAAATTAAATATCTAGTAAGTACTGAAATAATATCTGACTTCCTATACTCATTGAAAAATAATAATCGTCACGTTGAAATTAAGTATGTCATTTTGTTAAATACCCATTTTCTTTTGATATAGAAAATTAAATATCCAACAACTACTAAAATAATATCTGTCTCCCTGCTCACTGAAAAATAATAAATACCGCGTTGGAATTAAGAATATCATTTCGTTAAATAAATATTTTCTTCAGACGTAGAAAATTAAATATCTAGTAAATACTAAAATAACAATATCTGACTCCCTATTCACTGAAAAATAATAATCGTCGTGTTGAAATTAAGTATACCACTTCGTTAAATACTCATTTTCATATAGAAAATTAAATATCTAATAACTACTAAAATAATATCTGTCTCCCTGCTCACTGAAAAATATTAAATAACTCGTTGAAATTAAGAAAACTATTTTTTTTCAGATATAAAATGATTCCATATCTGGAAAAACTAAATTACTTTATCCTCGAATAATGAAAATTTTGTTTCGGAAATTAATAAAATAAAATAAAATAAAAATAATCCTCTTTGTCTTATAATTACTCGCAAAAATTGCAGAAAGTCTATCAAAGGTATGCGAATCATAAACGTGTCGGCCCCCCTCCCCAAAAGTATTCATATAATATATTCATATTATGAAACTAGGTCTACTCACCGCTTGCTTCCTCTCCCAGCTCTTCATGGCCGATTTGTATTTCTCGAATTCGTGGCACCAATCCGAGTATATCTTCTGATAGTCGTTCGACTTTGCCGGCGCCGAGCATCTGTGCGCGTCCACGGTGATGTTGTACGAGCAAAGAAGCGACCCACCGAGCCAGCAATCGTATCTTCCGGCGTCTTGCTCGTTCACGCCGACGATCACCAGGCCCTTCTCGGACGTCTCGATGAACTTGTCCCCGCCGGCACCGTACTTGTAGGCTATCTGATACCTTCCTTTCTCCTTGCTGTAGTGGTACCATCTGACTTCCTGATTCGCCAGCACTTCCGGCATCTTCACGAAACAGCCCAGATGCACCGACTGGCCCCAGGTGACTACCAGCTTCCGTTTGCCCACGCTGCTGTCGCAGACGTCTGCTGTGCTGTTCGACACGTCTTGAAGAAGTCTGCAAAAGAATAGAAGCATGCTCGTGAATCTTTTCCAATTTTTCCTAACGAGTTTATCGTTTTATCGTGCTCTTCGTTGAATCGTGATAATGCACACGGTCCATTTAAACGTTACCACAAGGAATTTTTAATTTGTTCAATATTCTGATCATTTTTTAATGAAAATTACTAATTTTTGCAAGTAAGGGTGAATTTACTAGATCGGTTAAAGGATTTAATTGCGAGGTACAGCAGGTGTGAAATTGAAGTTTGTTTGAGTGATAGGTTTAAATACGAGGATAAATGTGGTATAGCTGGGGTCTAAATAGGTCAGAAGAAGGTAAGGGGATTTCAGTAAGAGAAATATTTAGAGATGGCTTTAATTTATTAAATGAAATCAGTTTAACTAGGTCACGCTGTGTATGAAATTTTATGGCGAAACGTGAAACATTAAAAGGTTGATGACATTCAGCTTCAGAAGGGTATTATGCATACTAAATTCTGCTCGTCCACGTTTTATCCTCGTAGTATTCGTCACAGATATCCTCGGGGAAAATATAAGAAATTTTTGAGGTAATAAACTCAGCAAATAAAACGATCAGAATTTATAAATAGTGGCACTGCGTCACATACTTCGCGAGCTTTCGCGGAAAGCTCGGCGTCTCGTATTTCATACATTTTTCATGGAGACAGGAACTACCACTGAGCTCTTTAAAAACGTCCTATACTTTCAGAATCAATGTTTGCTCCTAACCGCAATTTTATACTTTTATACCAGGTACAGGAACAATAAAAATTAACAAAAATTTTCGGAAGTATATTAAATCCATGAAAATATCCTACAAAATTCAAAAATTGACAATAAATTCTCACCGATGCCACAAAATTATTTAACACTTCCTGCACAAAGTAATTCTGCGTGAAATTATAATTTCGCAATGAATTTTCTAAAAATTAAGAATTTTATTTCCTCATTTTATTACCACGAAGTACGATCGGATTCGACAGCAGTGCCATCTCAGTAATACTAATACCTCCCACGAATAACACGAGGCGGCGCCACTTGACATCAATCGACAGTGTCACTTGAAACTTTCTAATCAAATTTTTACAACTGTAATTGACACTCAGACGGATAATATTATATGCATCTTATATCGACGAAGTGAACGAAATGTTTGGATCCATTAAATTATATTTTAACTCTTTATTGACACGTGGATATCCGAATATATTGCAGATATAGCAGGTCGCTCTGAAATCTAGAATAAATGTTCTTGAATCCTTCAAAGCCCAATTTTGGAATGACTCCAAGCAATTAAAACTGTAATACCACGTATGACATAATCCAAAGCAAGGACACCTAACCTAACCGTTTGAAAAAATCATACGATACAACATAAATATAAGAAATATGTGTATAGTACATCACGTTTGCTGCATAATGCAATGAAAAGTTAATCAAGATGCTAATTAGTAACTAGTAATTGCAAATAATCATGTGTTCATCAGAAGAATCTGAAGTTAATATGCTTTTGGGATGAGTCTATGCTTTTGCATGTATTGGGTTGGCAAGAAAGTACTTTCGGCTTTCCAGTGTGAAATAAAACTCAATTTTTTCTATACAGTAAATAAAATTTTAATCGGTCAAATATTTTTCATTCTATTCGATGACCCTTTGCCATCTTTCTGGTAACATCATGATCCCGCGCTCATAGAATTTCTGGTCCTTATCTTCGAAAAACTTAACCAAGTGCGTAAATCTCAGATGGTCGACCAGAACGTTGTGGGTATCTTTCAGTGAAAAATCTTCAGAACGAAATTTTTTAAACTAATTCTGACACGTGCGTCCTGTTAAACAATCAATACCATAAACTTCTCGTATCTCTTTGCGAGCCTCAGCCGCATTCTTGCTTTTATGAAAATAAAAAAGTAAAATGTGTCGAAAATGCTTATTTTTCCACTCCATGATAAGACTGACCGTGAACTGACAGTTATAAACGAAATTACACGGAATTTCACGAAATAGCAACCTAAAGGTATCGACTACCACATCTGAAAAGAGAAAAATTCTAACATTGACAAAAGAATAACTAAACAAGCATAACATTATTTACTGATGCAAACCGAAATTACTTTCTTGCCAATCCAATATTTGTTGCGTCTGTCTCACTTTGTCTCGTTGCTTCGTTCGCTTTCTTTGTCACATGGTGTTCAAATCCAATATTTGTTGCGTCTGTCTCATTTTGTCTCGTTGCTTCGTTCGCTTTCTTTGTCACATGGTGTTCCATGACCGGGCTAATAGGAAGGGATCAGTTCTACCAACAAGGGAAGCGTTTTACTGTACTTCTGCCAAGATGTTAGAATGATTGGACTGGTGGGGATTCGGTCCTACGAGTTTCTCACAATCAGATGACTTCTTTCCAGCAACGCAGAGTATGTACCACGAACCAACGAACCCTTCCCTTCCGACGTACCAAATTTTTGCATCGTACTCACCCAGGTTCGTAAGGTTTGCAGGTGTTGGTGTCCTTGTCCCAGCCACAGTAAGGGTCGTGCACGCAGCGGAGACAATTGTCGTATCTGCGAGTGCACATGACCAGGTCGATCTGCTTTATTCGATGATCGGAGGCGACGTAGAGGGCCTTGTGCTCCTTGGAGATCTCCATCGCCTGGATCGGCTCGCCAGGTGTCACGTCGAAAACGTCCAGCAGGATGGATTGCGACTCGCCGTTATTGTCTATCCACTGAACAACTTTGTGCACGCGTCCGTCGCCTGTAACACGAGGGAACGACGCGTTTACCAACCGACTCGGGACATTTAACGCGATATCGAATTTGTATCACGGGAGCATCGCTGTCGCCGATCGGGTAATTTTCATGCTACGCGCGCACTGTCATGTGGGCCATCGGTTGCCTATGACAGCGGCCGGAAGTCGCGGTTTCATTGGGCGAAACGCAATGGGAGATCGAAGCGTGACGGACACGGTACCGATGTTATTTTATAGTAATTAACGTGCTACGTATTCGACGTCGATGACACGTAATAAATATCAGAGACGAAGCAACGTTCCGCGATCGATTTCATCGCACTCTCGTTATTCCAGCACGACAAATTTAAGGCCGGACCAAAGTGCCAACAATTCACTGTAACTGCTATTTTTTCCTGTCATTAAATATGCTAACGAGGCCTCGTTTGCCGCTAAAGTTTCATTAAAACTCGATCTTCGCGGGGCAGGGAGCGCGTTAACCCCTTTGCGCTCGACTCTTGGTCGCCAGGTACACGTCGAATTATAAAAATTGCTAGTCGATATCGGGTTTTTTAAACGATGTAACGATACATACGTGAAATATCGAATGAAAAAGTCCTATGGGTTAATTTACACAGGATTTCTTCTTACTTTATCGATTTTACGAGAGAAATAATTCCAATTGCCACTGCGAGAACCTGAACATATTTCCTTTTAAAAATAATTAACATTTATTCGAAATTAAAATTTTTATTAAAATTAATATGGCACTACAGGCATACAATATGGCTGTAAGTCAGGGGTTAGTTCATAACCTATACGAGAAAATCAGTACTCGAACAATGACCTGCTCCTGCAAGGAACGAAGAGTGGCGCCATCTGGCGATGCTTGGGACTAATCAAAGTATCACACTTAGTATTCTATGGCGAAATTAGCTTCGAGTGCAAAGGGTCGAATATTCAAACTATTGTCAAAATTTTCGTTCCATTCTTGGGATGTAACCACCAAGAATCGGATTTCGTTGATTTCGATAGTCAGAAGATCAGTCTTAGGTGTATCGGTGACTAATGGAAGTTGCAGAGTGCAATTAATCGCAAAACTGTGACGCGTTTTTGTCACTCGTTCCCCACAGTCCGCAGTTGCACGAGGACTTCTGATTATATTAGTTTTTAGCGGTAATAGACACTCGACGGTTGGCTACGAGACGAAAGCTGCGATTGCAATAGCAGATTGTACGAGTCAACTGCAAGAACTTTGAAGTTCGCTCGTGATTATCTTGCCAAGTTTCTCGACGACAAATCGGCCGACGGATACCAGAGCAAAACGCGTTCCAACCTGGGTACGCGTCTCGAATTAAATTTCTTATCGCAATTCCGCGGTTTAGCGTTCAAGCCTGACGTGACGCCATGTCAAACCTAACGAGCTTGGTGTTAAAAATAAAAGGAGCCTCGACCATTCGCAGAGGAAAGCTTCTTCGATAAGATATACCTCGTGAAAATGTGGAAAATTTGAAAAACGTGCACAAGTGTGTGTCCCCCGTGTCATAGAAGGGGTTAACGCTATTTTAGAGTTAAAATAAATATACATAAGAATGCTAGGGTTTGAGAGCGAATGCAAGAGAACACTTGGGCCTACCTAGCTGATGATGGACGATAAACAGCGGTCTAGGGTTCAGGCCCAATGTTCAGGGTGACGTCTGGCGTGCACGTGGAAGGACGAGTGGCCGCGTGCAAGGATATTTATGACTGTATCGAGTGCAAACAGGGAGCGAAAGTTAGGAATGCGTCTGACAGTTGGAGTACTTGGTCCAGATCGAGGGCCAGGTCGCGAGAGACACGAGTGAACGAATGAAAGCACGCGTAGGAGAGAGTAGGTTTAAACAGGGGTGCAAGGGTTGTCTTAAGACAGGCCTTTACAGAGTTTGAAGCCAGAGTCGATGTGAGTGTCAGTTTCGCGATTATAGATCAGTTATAGTCTAGTCTATTTGCTATAGTAATTTGCGATATAGTTTTCTATATAGTTCTAGTCTATCTGCTATATAGTCTAGTCTTTTAGATTATACCCTACTCCTAAATCTCCTTCAGCTCGTAATAAATAATATATTGGAATAAATATATTTTGTTTGAAGCAAGAGTCGATGTGAGAGTATCAGTTGCCTGATTATAGATCACTTATAGTCTAGTCTATTTTCTACAACAGTTTGCTACATAGTTTGCTAAATAGTCCTAACTACTCCTAAGTCTCTTTAGCTCGTAATAAATAATATATTGGAATAAATATATTTTGTTTGAAGCAAGAGTTGGTGTGAGAGTATCAGTTGCCTGATTATAGATCACTTATAGTCTAGTCTATTTTCTACAACAGTTTGCTACATAGTTTGCTAAATAGTCCTAGTCTATCTATTACATAGTCTAGTCTTTTAGTCTATACCTTACTCCTAGGCATCTTTTAGCTTGTAATAAATAATATATTAGAATAAATATATTTTGTTTGAAGCTAGAGTCGATGTGAGAGTATCAGTTGCCTGATCATAGATCAGTTATACTCTAGTCTATTTGCTATAGTAGTTTGCTATATAGTTCTAGTCTATCTACTATATAGTTTAGAGTCTTTTAGTTTATACACTACTCCTAAGTCTCTTTCAGCTCGTAATAAATAATATATTGGAATAAATATATTTTGTTTGAAGCTAGAGTCGATGTGAGAGTATCAGTTGCCTGATCATAGATCAGTTATACTCTAGTCTATTTGCTATAGTAGTTTGCTATATAGTTCTAGTCTATCTACTACATAGTCTAATCTATTTGCTATAGTAATTTGCTATATAGTTTCCTATACAGTTTTAGTCTATCTACTACATAGTCTAGTCTATTTGCTACAGTAGTTAGCTATATCGTTTGCAAAATAATCCTAGTCTATCTACTACATAGTCTAGTCTATTTGCTATAGTAGTGTGCTATATCGTTTGCTAAATAGTCCTAGTCTATCTACTACATAGTCTAATCTATTTGGTATAGTAATTTGCTATATAGTTTCCTATATAGTTTTAGTCTATCTACTACATAGTTTAGTCTTCTAGTTTACATCTCACACCTAAGTCTCTTTTAGCTCGTAATAAATAATATATTGGAATAAACCAACATCTCTTATTCCTTATATTTGCCAATGAAAAGTACCCCTACGTATATAAATGGTTAAGCCCGGTACGCAAGCGTGGCAAATCGAATGATTAATCGTCGGTCTATGCAACAAGCAGTACTCACTGGAACCAGCATAGTAGACCGTGTAATCCAAATCGATGCCCACGAAATCGATCCGTAGTTTATCGACGACCAACCGTGTGAGCATCACGTCGCGTTTATAGAAGACCGGTTTTTCGTTCTCGTGCGATATGGCCGAGTCCATCAGGGGATGAGATCGAATGAAGTTCAGCACCGTGTCCGGGAACGTTTCAGTGTCGTTCACACATTGACCGGGTCGCGGGTCAGGAACTTTGTTGGAGAGCACCGGAAGCCAGGCGCTGCTGCTCGTCGCCTGTTCTTTGAATTTTCCACGGAACGCCTCTTGAATCGCGTCGATATGGAACGAGCAAATCGCCGAGCCCATCAATCCGTTCGTCGACGTGGTAAAAGTACCGTAAAAGTGGGTGTCGTCGCCCGGCACCTTGTAAATACTCTCTGGAAAAATAAAAATCCCAACGATCGTTAACTTCCTCCTGTTTCACGCATACTTTATTATCCATTGCGCGTCCCGATACCCCGGCCTTGCAGCGTTGTAAATTTTACAACGACCAGCGATCGAGCAAATTTTACTACGCTCCGAGATGAACAGGTTTGAAAATGGTAGTCGAGAAAGATGAAACGGGTAATTTAGTGATACGAAATGACGTGCAATCGTGTATCGTGTGTCCATAATAATTTCAAGTATTGCAAGTGTTTAATAGGTAAGTGAGACACGGTGATACACGATTTTTCAAATTTTTTACTATTTTATATCCGATTTTTAATTTTACTAATTTTCTAATTTATCATTTTGCATTACAATAAAGATTATACGCTGAATTTGTCGCGGGATCATGATTATATTTAACACTAAAACTACTAACATATGTATATTAGTAGCTACATATGTATATTACACAAGAATAAAGATAATTGTAGTGGTATAAGGAAGACGATAAATTATATAAATAATTGTGTTTCGATTTGAATAAATGTGAAGATAAATTTTGTCAAAAGATATTGAAATGGTCTGAGAAAATGTAAAAATAAAATATCTAAAACAAATAATTTTGAATCCTTTGGTAGTTCTAGTGATATTAACACTACACGAAATTTTAACATACACGAAATTAAAGGAATTAAAATCGGTTAATTTGGGTTAATATCGGTTAAAATTAAAAACCTCTACAATTTTTCACAACTTTTTATCATTATATCCTTATGCAATTTAAATAAATTATTCCTGTAACATAGCCTCTGTAATTCAATTGGAGTACCCCCATAGGGGTTTATAGTACAATAGAAATAATTCGCACTCCTGGTTCCAATTTTTAATTTACAGAAACGAACTACGCGATAATTTCCGTGAATTTTGAGAAAATTCTATAAAATTCTAGTATAGATTTAAATTAGAAAATTGATTATTTTTAATATCCTGACTCCTCCTGTCATCCTTTGGTAGTTCTAGTGTTAATATGTTTTAACATACACGAAATTAGAGGAATTTAAACCGGTTAACTAAAATTAAATATTTCTACAATTTTTCACAATTTTTTATCATTAAATCCTTATGCAATTTAAATAAATTATTCCTGTAACATAGCCTCTGTAATTCAATTGGAGTACCCCCATAGGGGTTTATAGTACAATAGAAATAATTCGCATTCCTGGTTCCAATTTTTAATTTACAGAAACGAATCTCGCGATAATTTTAATGAATATTGTAAAAATTTATAAAATAGAGTCTAGATTTAAATTAGAAAATTGATTATTTTTAATATCCTGACTTCTGCTGTCACTGTATTAAAACTGACATAAGCGACTGAATGAAAGAGGAAACTTAAAAATCAGGGAGCAACTTACGTATTTCGTTGAAGTAGAATGGAAATTCGCCAGGGATCGAGCAATTCAGCCTGGCTTTCAGGTAAGTCGACCAATTCTGCGACAGAATATTTTTGCCGCCAGTGTCCCTTTTACAAACTCTCGCCACCCGAGAATACACGCTCTTGCCGCAATTTATGTATTCCACCGCCGTCTCGCGGAAGAAGAAGAATACGTGGCCGCCGATGTCGTAAGATCCCACGAAATTAGGTTCTGAAACAGTCACAAAGAATAACAGTTATTCGATCAAGAAAACTCGGTTACCCTGGAGGAAGTTCAACCTTCTACCAACTTCGATATTATACCAAAGAGACGTCGCGCCAAAATTGAATTCGAGAAAATCGTTGAATCTTAGAGAAATCTCGTCCGGGTCTCGGAGATTCTCTATTTCTCCATTAATCGACATATTTCATCTCCCTTCCTTTTAATTTTGCTTTTCGAAATTTCCCAGGTGGAAAAATAAAATTTACCAGGAACGTCACACGCGATGAAATGAAACCAGAAAAATTTTAGGAAAATGAAACTGAAATTGGAGAAATAAAATGTATTAAAAGAAAATTTGCAAAGAGATCAAAGAGGAAATTGCGAAATTTTTAATTAAAAATGTAAAATAGACCGTTTGGGCATTGGAAGGTTGGATGATAAGATGAACTATTCGAAAAATGGTGGAATCGCGTTGTTCGGCGAGCGTTCATAGAGAATCTAATTCGTCGACTTCCGGTCGCGGTGAAATTTATGTAAATACCGAGAAACGCGTAAAAATGAAGCGGAATTCCGTGTCAGATCCAGAGAAACAGCAATTTCGACGGAGGCTAGAGGCGCGCCCGGATTCTGTCGTTGATGAAATTCCTCGCCAAGATTTCAGCCGAACGATTTCCTCTTTAAACACCGTCGACCGAATTAGCATGCAAATCTGCCGCGATGGCCGACATTCTTTTCGACCTGCTAAAAGTCAACGTTGCATCGTCGGCAGTCACGCGACTCGGCTATTTTTCGCGTTTCCGGGGATAAAGGGGAATTACCGAAAAATGCCAGCTTTATACAGCTCGCAATTATCCTAAAATTCGCGGTATTTTATCGAGCTGATTTCAACGTAGCACGGAAAGTAGTGCAACTGATGTTTGGTAGTGACATCGATGCATTTGTTCGACTAATGGGGGCTGTAAATATTCCAATATGGCGAAAAAGTTCTTATTGGAAGAATAAATTTTGTTTTATGTTATTATCATATTATACTCCAGGTCTTCAAGTGTAATTTTGAAAAAATTTCGGTATTACAAGGGATTGTGTGCCTAATCCGGATATTGGTACAAATGCTGCGTTTATTAAAATTACTATATTCTGGAGATAAATGACACAGTGGATTTACAAGATGTTGGATTTATTTAATAGAAAAGACTATTATGATTTTGAGATTAAATATTCCAAAATACCAAGTATAAAAGTTCTCATTGGAAGATTAAATTTATATTACTATTATACACCACTATTATAAATATTCCAGGTCTTAGCTATACTTTAAAAAAATCATTCATTATAGTGAAAAATTTTGTATTCATAATGTGAATACTTAATCTAAGATGATATATTGGACATATAACACAAATGAAAATCGTTGCACTTCTTTGTTCGAAAAGATTATTACTATCTCGAGCCTAAATATTCCAAGGTCCTCCCTAAAATAATTCCCATTGGAAGATTAAATATAAATTACTTCTATACACTGCTATGATAAGCATACCAGGTCTTCAGCTATAATTTTTAGAAACCCTTCACTTGGGAAAAAAATTTTGTACTCGACGAAAATCACGAAAGTTCGTCACTCACAGCGTCACTATAATTTAATCTAAGACGACACATTGAACATTATACACGATATATTGGACATATAACACAAATGAAAATTGTTGCACTTATTCGACCGAAAAGAATATAATCCTAAACCTAAATATTTCAAAATTCCCGCCAAAATTGAAGAACTAAATTTGATCTACATTTATACACAGCTATCACAAATATTCCAGGTCATTAGTGATAATTTTAAAAAACCCTTCACTCAGGGGAAAAATTTCGTACCCGACAATAATCACGAAAGTTTGTTACTCATAGATATTCAATCTTTATTATCTAAATTAATTAAGCATCCATATTTAACCTAATATAACACATTGAACATTTAATATAAATACAAATTGTTCACTTATTTGACCAAAAAGAATATAATTCCGAGCCTAAATATTTCAAAATTCCCGCCAAAATTGAAGAACTAAATTTGCTCTATTTTTCTATACCACAGATATCATAAATATTCCAGATCTTAAGCGATAATTTTAAAAAACCCTTCACCAAGAAGAAAAATTTTGTACTCGACGATAATCACAAAAATTTCCCTCACAGTGTCAATACAATTTAATCTAAGACGACAGCTTAAACATTCCTCATAAATGCAAATCGATGGAAAAGAACATAATCCCTAGTCTAGATATTTCAAAATTCCCGCTAAAATTGAAGGACTAAATTCGACATACTTTTCTACACCATCGCTGTCATAAATATTCCAGGTCTCGAGCGATAATTTTAAGAGTCCTTCCAGCAAGCAGAAAAATATCGTACGATTACGAAAGTTGGTACCTGATAGCGTCGATATTTCAACCAAAATGACACATCGGGCGTTTCGCGTTGATGCCGCCATTGGAGGATATCGCCGCTGGCGCTCGTTAGGGAAACAAAAGTTGAACCGCAAGAAATTACGCGGAAGGGTTACGAGTGGGCGAACGATCGTCAGAGTGCTCGAAAAACTTCGAAATTCGAGGAACCGTCGGGAACAATGAGAAAAACCATAAAACAGACGTTCCAAGGGGGCCCGAGTTACGACGCGGCGTGGTAAGTTTTACACTCGAAGGAAGAACGACTTTCCTAGTTTTCATTTAGCACCGGGATGAAGCGTCCAACTTGAACGCATGCTTAACGAGCATCCACTTGTCGCTTTTACGATCCGCAATCGTAAAGCCGCTTAACGGTTCACTCGTTACGAACGTCGGAGCATCGATAATTTCCTGGCTTTCCTTAGCTAATGAAGATCGAAATCTGGAGCGCGGGAAACTAGATCTTACGCCGGCAGGAAGATTACGAATGTCAACACTTTCGATATTACCATTGTCCCTTATCACGTTAAGTGCCCAGCCCGTTTTGCCTGCAATTCCGTTCAGGCTCAGACTCGGTCCTCAAGTGAGCCACCGGTGGTGAGAGAAGTGTTCATAAAACTCGGAGATACTGTATCAATTGCTATGTGGAGGCTAAGATTCCGCGCCTACGCCTATGCCAAAGGAGCAGGTAAATTAATGCCAAGTGTGCATCAGGTTTCCTTGCATAACGTACCAGCTGTCACTGCGGGCTAACAGGCATTGTCCTCAGGATGGCATTGGCTATCGTCAATGTCATACCAAGGATTAGTCGGGGATCGGGCAATGATGTTGCAAGCCAATGTTTTCGCTTAATTTACGACCCCCCTTTAATCATCACGACTTTCCCTCGCAAATGCATTCCATAATGCAGAAACATAGTTTTTGGTAGCTTTTTTCCTACCCTTCCCATGCACACTCGGTAGCCTTAAAAAGCTCCTAAGTAGAGGGTTGGGGATCAGTTGGAGTCCGATCTTTTACGCCATGATTGCTGACCCTGCCACCTCGACGAGCACACGAATTGTACACCTTCGACGATTCTCGCGCTGTGAACCGTCTCCCCAATAAAGAAGCGTACTGCACCTGAGCGAGTTTACTTCTTACAACCCCCACAGCTATAACAGGAATTCACAAACGTCAGGTCCAAAGATGGCGAAGAATTTAACACCAAAAGTTAGCACCTTTTGGTCCCAATCTGGGCCAGGTTCGAAAGTCTAGCGCCTGTCCCTGAGGACTCAACGTGTTATCTAACAGCTGCTAAATTTCACCTGTTATAACTTCCGTAGATGAAACTACGTGTCTGACTAGTGAATAGGCAACTCTAGCTGTTACACCTTGCGAATCCTTAATTTTGAAACTATATATGTAGGAATAGCAAGTGTGAGAGTCAGTGCAAAGGAACCCTTGGAACCTATCTAGCTGGTGACAGGTAATAGACAGTAACCTAGGGTTCAGACTGAATGCTTAAAGTGTCGTCTGAAGTGCACGTAGAAGGACGAGTGACCACGTGCAAGGATCAGATGCATGGAATATTTATGACTGTATGGAATGTAAGTGAAGAGCGATGGCGCCTGAATGTTTAGGGTACGTGAGCCACCTCGAGAGCGAGGCTATGGAAAATTCGTGATTGAGAAAGAAAGCTTGAATATGATAGAAGACAAAGTGTAAGGTTTAAATGAGGGTACAAGGGCTGTCCTGGGACAGTTCTGTTGGTGAGAATCGTACACGAAAGCTGTTGTTGCAAAAGCTGTATAATTTTTGTTCCTTTCTATACATAGGCAAACACGCATGCTAATATAAGATAGTTCTTAAGTTTATATTATCCTATAGCGATAAGCGTGGTACATTAACCCTTTGCACTCGAGAGGGGACCCTCAGTCACCATTTCATAAAATTTGGAAGATCGATATTAATTAATATATCAAATTTAATGTAATATAACAGTATCGAAATCAAATAATTCTACAATTCTATTACTATACAATTCTTTATTTACTACTTAAAAAAGTATCGTCAGTTTTTTAGCAGAGAATCCTTAAATTTCTACTCTTCTTTAGCCAAAAAGTCGTCGAGTGCAAAGGGTTAAGTTTGATTTTAGATTGCGAGTGCTTCACGCGGAAGCCATCGATCTCAGAGTCTAAGTTTCATTTGTAACCCTCTTGTACGTTTTAGTTCTTTTACATCTATATTATTGTATCTAGTTTCTGGCGCAATGAACGTATGTTAAATTGGAAAAATTGGAAAAGTTGTACACGAGGTTTGAAAGAGAGTCGAGATGGTGACAGTTCGAAAAATTGACGTGTGAATGTGAATTGCGTAATTAGTCTAACCTTTTTAGTTGGTATTTTACTCTCAAGTCTCTGTAGCTCATAAATAAAACATACTCGAATTAAACATTCTTATTCCTTGTATTTCGCCAATCAAAATATATCCCAACATATATTTGACTAATCAAGTTATCGAACGTGCCATGAATAGGGTAGTATCCGATAACTATGATGATAACCATTTTACAATTCATTTGTAAAAATT